GTCACAGGGGCTCCACCCCAGGGCATCCCTCCAATGGTTCCCTCCTCAGCGCTGGTCACATACCCCATCACCAGCTTCCTGTGGATGGCATCTCAGAGACCTCCCTGTGTCATCCCTGCCTTTCCACTGGCACTGCCAACACAGCCACTCCCACTCTCTCCCAGATCCCATCTTACTCAGTATGGCCCAGTGAGTTTTCCTGAAACAATATATTTTACAGAAAAAAAAAAAAAAAAAAAGATTATACTCTTTAGGATTTGGTTCAAAATCTCTCATGAGCTTGCTCTAACACAGCCTCTCAATATATATATTAACCTCATTTTCCATAAATCAATCTTTTCTTCCACATACACTTCAGGGTTCTCTTTTCCTCATCCAAGGTCTAGACCTTCCCACAGCTGTGTCTTTTTTCTTTATTGCCCTCTCTTCCCATATATTCCAAACTTCCTCATCCAAATGCTCTTCACGCTTCAGTGATTACTGCCAATGCTACCTCCTCTGCCCATCCTCCCCTCAAAATGGCAGCCAAAAATCACCTCTTCCTATCTCGCACAATCCACCACTGTAATCTTCCAAGGGCAGCTTTGGAGCCTGATTTCTATTTACCTGACCCAAAGCAGGCACCACTTTGCAGAAGGTAAAACAAAGATTGCCACCAGCATCTGGCAAACCAGAGAAAACCAGTAAAAGAAACCAGTGCCTATTGCTAAGTGAAAGAAGTCAATGTATGTTTCTAACTGTATGACATTCTGAAGAATGCAAAACTATGGTGATGGTAAAAAGATCAATGATTGCCAGATGGAGAGAGGAAGGGAAGAGTAGGTAGAGCATAGAGGATTTTTAAGATGATGGAACTATTCTGTAGGACAGTATAATGGTGGAGACCATTTGTGGAAGCGCACAGAATGTACAACACCAAGAGGGAACCCTGATTTAAACTGTAAGTTTTAGGTGATAATGATGTGTCAACACGGGTTCATCAACTGTAACAGATGTACTATTCTTGTTTGACTCTTTGGCCTGGGGGTCAACAACCAGAATGTTGACAATCAGGTGTGAGCCACCACATCCCTTTCCCCAGAAAACTGGATTAACCTACAAAAGTTCCTTCTACAACATGGCCAGATCCTTACATAATCACATTACTGTGATGCCCACCAGATAGCAATCCCTGTCCACGTGCACAGAGCTTCTAATCTAATTTTTAGACCCATCCCTAAATATGAACAAAGAGCCAAAGATAAGTAGACATTGGAGAAAAACTCCCATCTAAAAGAGACCAAATAAATAAAAGAACCCAGAATAAACAGAGACATAGAACAGGAAAAAAAGAAAGAAAGAAAGACGGATGGAAAACAATGGAGAAAGACTCTGCACTTCGGAAATAAACAGCAGAAGCTGTACTTGAACAACTAAGAAAAGTAGTATAAGCACAACTTTTTTAGAAGTTAGCACAGAAAGCAAAAGTTTAATGGGAAGACTAGAAGATGTAAGCTGAGGAAATCCATCAGGAAGCAGAACGAAAAGACAAAAACAGAGGAGTTATGAAAGAAGAAAATAAAGGAAAAACAGAAAACTTATCAATTATGTAATGTAAGGAAAATTTCTAAGAAACGGAAAACAATCATCCTGATCAAAAAGCCCACTAAGCACGCACCACAGAGACATACAAGGTAGCCAAACATGAGCCCTCACATGCTCTCCTTCTCAGGAAGTTACTGGAAGATGGACTATAGGAGGGAATAAACCAAGAAACCCCTGACATGAGGGATCAACATCAAAAGTGGCGACGGCATCCAGGAAACATGCGCTTGCACAGAAGACATAAGCAAAGGGACCTCGTGGGCATAAGGTCCAGGAGCTGCAGGCGATGGCTAGAGGGCAGGCCTAGAGATCAAGCAGGAGAAGGGAGAGGCCTCCAAAGGGACGGGGGAAAGACCAAGGGGAGGGAGGGAAGGACTTCTCGATGTAGCTCTGCCATCTGTCAGAGCCTGGAAATAAAATCATGATAGATAAAATAAGAAATTAAATAAACAAAAATGCATTAACTCCAGGGGAGAAACACACCTCATTGTTCAGTAAAGGAAATAGATTGTAGTCTCAGCTAGAAACAACAGCTACAGGGTCATAATGATAAAAATACCTAGTACTAATTTAAAGAAAAATTGTAACGGTGCCTGGGTGGCTCAGTTGGCTGAACGACTGCCTTCAGCTCAGGTCATGACCCTGGAGTCCCAGGATTGAGTCCCACATCGGGCTCCCTGCTCAGCAGGGGGTCTGCTTCTCCCTCTGACCTTCCCCTTCTCATGCTTGCTCTCTCTCTCAATCTCTCCTCTCTTTCAAATAAATAAATAAAATCTTTAAAAAAAAAAAATTGTTGGGGCACCTGGGTGGCTCAGTGGGTTAGGCCTCTGCCTTCGGGTCTGTTCATAGTCCCAGGGTCCTGGGATCAAGCCCTGCGTCAGGCTGTCTGCTTGGCAGGGAGCCTGCTTCCCCCCTCTCTCTGCATGCCTCTCTGCCTACTTGTGATCTCTGTCTGTTAAATAAATAAATAAAATCTTTAAAAAAAACTGTAATTTAAGTGTACAGGGACAAAAGAGGGGCAAACCATGATGGGGGAGGGTAGTTAGAGACCAGCCTCATTTTCCATAGCAAAGAGTTCACAGATATCTTACATGTCAAAGCAGGACCCTATGAACATACCCGTGAGGGATGGAGACGGGAGAAGTAGCTAAGAGTTCAAACTGATTGTCACCAAGGCAAAAAGTTTTAGGTGGGGGATGGGGTCTCCCCAAGGGCAGAGAGAAACAACATATAGCACTAGTCAAATACTTAAATCATGTATATATCCTATTTTGATAAAGATAACTCTTGATTAAATAAATGAAGGATAACGAGCTTGGGGCTTGCAGACTACTCCTTTGAGAAGCTTAAATACCCTAAAAAAGGGGGTACTTGGGTGGCTCTGTGGGTTAAGCCTCTGCCTTTGGCTCAGGTCATGATCCCAGGGTCCTGGGATCAAGTCTCATATCAGGCTCTCTGCTCAGCAGGGAGCCTGCTTCTCCATCTCTCTCTGCCTGCCTCTCTGCCTACTTGTGGTCTCTCTCTCTGTCAAATAAATAAACAAAATCTTTAAAAAAAAAAAAACTAAAAAAAAAAAAAAAAGGTCCACACATGGTATTTTTTTTGCCCCTTGTTTTTTAAGTTTGAGAAATATGGAAAAAGCAGAAACAACAAAGAAGACATTATTCCAGCAGCAGAAAAGAGACAGGACTTCTAAAGGAGCAAGCTCTCTAAGGAGGCAGGAGTGAGGGGTCTGGAACATGTGTACTCAAATTAGGCTAGGACAGAGAGAGAGCTCACCCCTGCTGGTCAGGGGTGGAGGAGGGAGGGGATTGGAGTGCAAGGGAAAACCTTTTGGTTAGAGAGTCAAGGCACTGCTTGATACTCTCTGTTTTGGGGATGAGTGAGCAGGCCAAGGGAAACCGTCAATATTTGAGAAGGTACCAGAAGGAAATGTTAAATTCAATTTGATCAAGTAAGTTGGATCTTAGAGCAGAAAGTGTTTGTACTCAGTCATTCCTCCATGCTTCCAGATTTCATAACTCTTCCGTAACATCTTCATACTAATACTTTAAATGACTGACTCTTCACTAAACTATGAATCCTCGAGAACGGTCTTAGCATTTGCTATGCAACTCATATGCACTGACCGCTGGGCCTGATGTGAAATGCATTTTTGTTCTATAGACATATAAAGGTTTACCTTCAGAAACACAAAGATATCTCAACGTACCAATACACATATATTACATTAATATGTTTTTTATAAACCACGACAGTCAGCATTTAATAATTTTATTGTACAGTTTAAAAACAATACCTAATGTCCTTCATGGATAGCCCCTCCCCCCAAAAAAATTTTATTTAAGTTCAAATTTCCATCTGAAGCTGTCTCTCTTTGACCGCATGTAACACCGAGAATCTGTTCGGGATGATGCCCATACTTTGACCCAAGTCAGATCATCAAGGAAGACATGAACCTATGCCTAGCTCATGGGTTCTAAATTAAAGTTCAGGAACAGTCACAGTAAGTTTTAAAACAAAGATTCCATAGTTGGAAATCAGTGCCTGCCCTGTCATATAATAAACCTGAAGACTTTATGGTTTGAAATATTATATTATTGATTCAGAAAATTAATTTTAAGTACAGGGATCTCTGTTCATTAGTACTTCCTAGTATTTCAACATACTCTAATTTTATATTCTTTCCAAAAGAGAAATACAGCTATTCACTAAGAAAAGCATAATGTTAATACTAATTTTTTTTAAAAATTCTTCTTTCTTCTCCCCTACATTTAAGCGAATTTCCTTGATAATTTCCAACACCTTCTCCATAAAACATTTCAAATCTACCTCAAACGGATTCAAGGGGAGAGGAAGAGTTATAAATAAGTAAATACAAACAAGAGTTCTGGTCATTCAAATCTTTTACTAAGTTTAGAGGATGTTTTTGATAGCTATTAAAATTCTTCTTGCCACATTAATATAGTAAAGAAAATTAATTTGAGAAGTCTATCTCAAATGCCAGATTATGGCAATAAACCCTAATCTTTAGTTTTACAAAGCAATAAAACAGAGAATTACAATTTTCTGGATGAATTAAGCTAATGAACAATTTAGGACAAAATGCAGATTAGGACACCTGCACATGCTTTTCCATAAATCCCACAAAGTTTAAGTTGATCAACTAAGGTTGTTTCAGCAATATCATGTAACACAGAACAACCAAACTACCATCTCCATAATTCCATCCTTTCAGCTTCTCAAAAACTTTTTAGAAATCAATTCCCAAAAAAATGCATTTTATAGGATAGTAAGCTATCCTGATAATGGTACTATGGTTAATTCTACCTTTAAAGTCATAGAAGCCAAATCAACTCAGTAGCCTGTAAGAACTTCTAATTTACAAAGGCATGCAAAAGCATCTTCTAATATACCTGATTTTGACTTCAGGATAACCTGAATGGTATGTCCATCGTTGGTGACTTCGCAGTCCCGGCAGACCACATAATTTGGGGAGAGGCGGACATCCAGCAGTGAGGGGTCATATCTAGCTTCTCTTGAGTTTAAATTAATGGGGGACTGGTATTCCCCATTAGCATCAGGAAACACCAAGCCCCACTCAACACCTAAGCACAAAATAAAGCAAATTTAGAACAGGTTATAAAAAAGGTTCCAATAAAATTCAACGTGTAAAAGCTGATTTAGACACTGTTTATGATCCTTGACATTATTAAGGTTATGACTATTGTTTCTCTACAGATGAAATATGGTAAAGGTGTACGAATTTCTGCACTCATATTTTCAATGATTTAATGCTACCAAATATCATATACAAAGGGCTGTACTAACAAAATATTGTCTTCGTCCACATATATGTAATAATATGTAACTCTACGAAATTTAGGTCATCTCGAAGTGATTGAAAAAGAATCAAGAGTTCCACAAAAATTTCCTCTGCTCATTAGTTCAATTACATGCAGTCCCTGAGAAATACCTGAACTTCTGAACTCGCTTGACGAGAGCCAAAAACCATAAATCTGATGCTAGTGAATAAACCCTCTTCCCAGAAATGCAAATACAGCAGTAGAGAAGTGGGCATATCCACATATACCCACACCCCTATTGTCCTACAATATATACATATATATTCTCTTGGCATGTTTTATAAAGTTACAAATTCCCCATTTGTTTCACCATCCGCATCAGTGGTCAAATCTATTTCCATCTTCTGGGATAAACGCAGCCAACAAAACTTTTTTAAAAAGTCAAGCCCTTCCGACCAAGCCCGCTGATCAGGCTTGAAATTTAGGACTTCTTTAGCAAGAGTTGAACACCGTTCGCATCCTTCACGGAAAGGCTAGCGGAGAGAAGGCTTTCTCCCCGCAGGAGAAAGAACCCAGCAGTTTCGGAAACACTGGATGCCCAAGGTGCTGAGTAAAATGCAACGCTGCTCCTCGCCGGCACTCAGGGGACACAAGGGTTAGAGGCGCCGCGTACGGCTGGCCCGCCGCGTGGCCGCAAGTGCCAACTGCTGCTGCCCGGCAGGACCAACCGGCGCCCTGACGCGCGCGCAGGCGGCGGGCACGCTCGCTCTGCTGGAGCCACTTCGGCCCCCAGTCGGGCTTGGGGAGCGGGAAAGCGACAGAGACGCACGTGGGAAAGAGGGGCCGCGGCGGTGCTGGGCGCGCGCGAGAGCCGCAGCGACTCGGCGGGACGCGCACGCGGCGGGGCGCGGGACCTCGGACAGCCCGCCGGACTCGCGGCCGGTTTACCTTCTTCGTAGCCCCACTCTACCCCCTCCTCCTCCTCCTCTTCATCCTCCTCCTTCTCCGGGAAGGCGACGGAATCTTCGATGAAGCTGAGGTCAGCCATGGGGAAAAGGCCGTGGGTCCCCTCGGCGCTCTCGCCCGCGGAGCCCGCGGGGCAGCAGGGAAGCGGGCAGGAGTGGGAGTGGGCGCGCGGGGAGGTGGGAGACCGACCAGAAGTCCGTGGGGGTGCGAGCGCACGGCTGTGTGAGTGTGAGCGCGCGTGGGGGTGTGAGCGCGCGTGCGGGCGCGAGGCGGGCGCGGGCTGGGCGGGAGTTTTCGGGCGGCCGGGCGGGGAGCGCGCGCGCCCCGAGTCCCGGCGGAGCGCGAGGGGAGCCGTAGCTCCAGGAGCGGCAGTCGGCGGGTTATAAACCCGACCGGGGCGTGTCTGGTACGGGAGGATCCGCCCCCTTCGGCGGCCGGCAGGAAAAGGACCTGGAGCTACCGGCCCCACCAGGGAAACTGCGGAAGCCCGGTCACCGTACCTGTGGGGTGGGCTCCCCACTGCCGGCTCTCCCACACGCTTACCTTCCAGAAGCCCGCGAGTCGCCCAAGGACCCGTGTGTGTAGGCCCTAGACCAGGGGCTTTCTACCTTATTTACTTTCGGCTTTACTGCAGGAAATACAGAAAGAAAAAAAAGCGAAGGTGGGGGTTTCAGGAAGGAGAGAGATTAATAGCTATGCGTAAAGGACAGGACTGGGAAGACCCTGTAAGAAGTTTCCCACTCTGAATTTTTATTATTGGCTATTTACTTTATCATCGTCCTTAAAGGACGGTGGAAAGTTGAAATGGAAAAATTTCCAAGGAACTTGTAGTTCCTAAAACACATAAGACAAAAATGTTTCAATCTAGATAAGCAGATACAATTTGGGGATTCCCCCCCCCCCGCAAAAAAATATCTCAAAGGCAATGACAAGCAATAAAGAAAGGGTGTTTGGTTTTAGTTTCAGAGTCTGGGGTGCTGCTGCAGGAACAGCTTGACCTGTACACAGCTCCCAAACGCCTAATGAAATCGTGTAAATAATGAAATGCACACATTGCATAACAAACAGAACTTTCCTGATCTAAAGAGGTAGCATTGTTACCTCTAAAACATGCTTCCCAACGACTTAATGCCCTAACCCCCGTGTTGCAATGCGTTTTAAAAGCCCCAGTTTATAACCCCTGACCAGCTTAATTCCGGATTTTTAGAAGCTCAGATTTGGACCTCAAGCAGAATTTGTTTTTATAAGCCCAGGGCACGTACCAGCAACGTCTGTTAGCAGTTTGAATTGCCGGTTCTTAAATCATCTCATCTTTATGAATGCTTCATTCCTCATAGGATGGAGATGCTCCTTCTGGGGATTTTCATGTTCTGTGCTGCTAGCATTCATTGGCTGCTCAGCCCTCTACTATGTAAAAAAGGCATTTAACAGGTTATTAGAAACTACTCCAGAAAGTGGATTGAGATTGAGGGGGGGGCCCTAAGTCAATCAATTCTGACACTTTCTGGAACATTTAGCAAAAGAGGTGAGAACTATCGGTCAGCTTTAGCTTTGAGGATTCCAAGCACTCATTAAAAAAATTAATAATAATAAAAATAAAAAACTCCCCCTTAAGGTAGGTAAAAAGTTATGAGGACTTGAGCCACAGTTTAACAGAGATGAAATTCATTCTTCACTCACTGCCTTTTGGGTGTTCTTTAGTGGATATCCTCTCTCTTCTGTTCCTTAATAAGCCTGAGATTGACAGAAGTATAAGTCTACCCTAAACCTATAGTTTTTGAAAATAGTAAGCACTACCCAAAGTATTGACCATTTTCACTAAAGTTCTTCTAAAAGGAACATTTCATTTATTTTTCTGTTGTTGAAAACTTTTTCACAATCTTGAAATTTTCATTAAAGTTTCTTTCTAGAAGTGTATTCACACATTAATCAAATGTTGCAGCTAATGGAACCTATAGAAAATAATAAAATCATCTTGCCACCCTGGGCTCATCAGGAATGTCCATTCCCCTGGCCCAAACATGAATAGATGCCACACTGTAACCATTGTGTGACCACCATTTCATTTAAAGTATTACATGAATTACAGAGATGTTTACCAAGCCAGAGGACAGCAAAATCACCATGGCAAAGAACTCAATGTTCCATGAGTAGTAAATGATGTGCCATATTTACTGCAGACAGGCTGCAAGATTGAATTACCAATATTGAATTTTGCAGCTAATAGACCATTCTGTATATAGCCAACAATATATCACTATTCATAAATGTAGTTAACCACTACGCAAACATGTGTTTACCCGTACTTGTTCTTTCTAAATTATTCAACGTCTTGTGTATAATGTATCCACTGCAAGCCTAGGATACCCTACCCAGCAACATATGAACCATTCCAAAGTGCATCCAAGTGTTCAATTAACAGCCTTAATTGCTTTGAGACTGTGTGCTTCAGATTTCTGCTAATTAACAGCTCTTTAAGACCTTCTCTTCTCAGGTCCCTGTACTATATTATTGCTAAAGATGGAATTTCTATTTCTAGTTATTATAAGGTATCTGTCACCATAAAACCTAAACACACAGACCCGAAGATATAGGCCAATTCGTTGATTTATAAACTAGAACAAGCACACCCAAATCTAATATCAGAGAATCTAAAAATATTCATGCTCTCTATTATGAACATAAGTACTCCACATATCCCCATATGCAATTTTTAAAATATTTCAACCTGATATCATATTCGATTCCTTTAACTTTCTATTGCTTGCTTCTCATGTTTCCATAACTGAGGTCAAACCTCATGAGTAGGACAGTTCATTAAAACTAAGCCTATATAACTGATTACTATTTAATACTAAGAAAATAAAAATACCCAAAAGGGACAAACTTATCTAGATGTCACAGGGACAAAGAGACACTGAGATTGCTTCACACACCCCTCTCCTCCCAATCTTTTCCTATCCTTTGCCTACCTTTTCAAGGCTTTCTTCTTGTGCTGGTGAGTTTTGGCCCCGCAGTAGTCACGAACAATTATTACTCTCTTCTTTTGTGTATCTTATGCTCTGCGAGCACCTCAAGGACAGAACTAACATATGTATGTCAAATGCCTTCTAACCAGATTGTGTAAATTTCTGAATTTCAACAATGAATCGTATATCTTCACGTGCACTGCTCTGTATTGTGCACTATGGAAAACCCCAAAGTGAATAACACTCCTTCTGCCTGCAGGGAATTTACACTTCTCTTGGTGGGGGCGGGAGGGGGTAGTCAATAATTAACTATAATAAAGGCAATATATTTAATAGTGATGCAAGCACCATTACATCTAAGGAAGATGAGATTCATATAGATGGGAATGATGAAGCAAAGTTTCTTGGAAAAGATGGCTTTTAAGGCAAACGCAAAAGGATGAGTTGGCTTTAGAGCACAGTGAGTGAGCAAACAGCATTTCAAGCATCATCAAGTAATGATGCCAAATCATGGAAGTGCTCATTGTGGATCCATTTCTCCACAAAGTATCTCTGTGACCTGCCAAGACCAATCTAGATTACTCAAAAAAAAAAAAAAAAAAGTGTCCTTCAATGGGATTATGTCTGAAGTAAGACATTTCTTTGGTTTAGTTTGTTAGTCTGATTTTTGTTTTGTTAGTAAAGACATTGCTAACCTTAAAAACGAAGTAGTCACCTATTTTACCAGCAGAAATAGGTTTATTCAGGAATATCAGAGAATTGCAATTTGGAACATGTAAGCTATGGCAAAACCAGAGGCAAGTCCAGCAAATAAAGGAAAGAGCTATTATTTTATGGAGAAGAAGGAGGCGGTTGGAAGGGATTGTTTTGAACGAAAGCCCATTGGAGAAAAATAAGAGTTAAAGGTGATAATCGTTTCTCATTGGCTGAGTTGCAGGGGTGGTTCATTTCTTACAGAGGATACAATGGACATCATTCCCTATTGGGGCCTGTAATTGCTGATTCTTTCCTGTTGACCGTTCTTTTGTTCAAGTCTGTAATTGACAATTCTTTGTGTAATAAATATTGGAGAGATAAGTCTCCCCAATTCTGTGCTTCCCCCTCTGGCCTCCCAACTCCATTCTAGTGAGGCTTCCCTTTATTAAGTTTCACAACATCAAACATTTCCTCATTCTGTACATTTTGATTTCTGAAGCTTTCAAGCTTTGCTGATAAGGCAAGAAGTTTAATTCTTTCATATTTTTTTCTTATCAGATTAATCTCGTGTTTTGCCTGCTTACAGTTCTGTTTATGAATCTATTTTAATTTTACCTCTTCTTGGTCTTTGCCTTCCGAACATCAACTTGGAGTCTTCAGGTTTGGTGTAGCTGTGACAGATTTTTTTTATCATTCCTGTCATTCACTGCCCCTCTCTATGAGATTATACTTCACCGACTAACCATAGGACCTGCTTTGACCAATTGAATATGGGTAGATGGGCACCGGCCACTTCCAATAGAAGCGTTAGAAGTTGTCATGTGGTTCCACCATCCTGTTTGTCCCTCTGTCCCCAAATTACCCAGTCCAAGAAAGGCCCTGCTTCTTCAGTCACTCTGGATCCTGACATAACGAAGAACCATAGATCAGAGCCACAGGCAACCAGAATTTGACTTGTCGTGTCAGTGAGAAGTAAACCTTTGTTTTATAAGCCACTGAAATTTGGGGATACTCTGTTACAGCAGCTTAACCTAATACAACCTAGCTGTTATAGTAGCCCATCAGGTAAAGGGGAGTTCAAGGATAATTTTCATTTTCTCAAATGCTTTTTTCATCTGCCTTTTTCTTTCACATGAAAGTATCTCTCAGGGCGCCTGGGTGGCTTAGTCGTTGTCTGCCTTCAGCTCAGGTCATGATCTCAGGGTCCTGGGATCGAACCCTGCATAGGGCTCCCTGCTCAGCAGGAAGCCTGCTTCTCTCTCTGCCTCTGCCACTCCCCCTGCTTGTGTTCCCTGTCTCGCTGTCTCTTTCTCTGTGTAAAATAAATAAATAAAACCTTAAAAAAAAAACTTTAAGTACTCAAAAAAAAAAAAAAAAGAAAAAAGAAGTACCTCTCTGGTCTGCAGGGAAACTGAACAGTCTCAAGTGGGGTCCTTAGCCCACCTTACGAAGGTTTTAGAACCCCTGGCCCTAAGTAGGGTCCCCACAGCATTACCACACAGTGAGAAAGCCCTTATCCCTTGGAAATGCCCATCTGCTCTGAGTAA